CCATCTCCACGGTTCGAACCCAGGACCTTCCGGTTACAAGTCAAGCTGGCTCATATACCATTCAGCCACTGGGGCGCGATTCAGTGACCAGCCCATGAATTCTGACTTCGTGATGCATTTGGCACCAGCACTAACCAACGTCATCGGTGGGCCATCCATTCTCACACTTGACTAGATAGACCTTACCGACCACGACTTCCCACAAGAACTCCAGGAAACTCCATCCTGTAGAAAGTCACTGGCGACCATATTTATATACCTTTTCGGCGATTTCATTTTCAAAAGCTGTACAATCGCATTTATAAATACATAATTTTACATGGAGACAATTCTTGTTTGATTCTACATAATTATGGCAGTGAATAAAAGGTGATAATTATTTCCAACTAGATATGGTTATACGAGAGGCTTAGAAACAAAAATTACGCAGGATTAGAACGTATATCAAGTGTGTAAAAATGAGCATGGATACAAAATTGAAATAATAATTTTCAAATTGAGATGGGAATCAGGAGGTGCGAATATAGATTACAAGAGCCTTAGAAACAAACTGCTTTCGGTAGGTTTGTTTCCGACTTCTCTGTACTGCAGAAACCCTCGCAATATGCATCGAGAAGCCGGAGCTGTGTGTCCAAAAGAAATTAGTTCAACCTCTACAACTACCATGGACTTAGTTCGGTATGTTACCGTAGCTTCCATTTTTGTTTCTGTTTTTGTTTTTTTTTGATCCCTTTTCGTTCGCTATGTGTGTGATTCTTACTCCCTCAGTCTTCATTCGATTCACCCCATTTTTTTTCCAGTTATAAAAAAAACATTTATTTTAAGTTTACTTCCATGCTTTTCCTGTTCACATTTATAATCCGTTTTAAAAAATTTGCAATTATATCTTAATCCTGTGCAATTATTTTGTGTTTCTAAGGCTCTTGTAATCTATATTCACACCTCCTAACTTCCATTTTAAGTTAAAACTATTATATGAATTTTGTTTCCATGCTCACTGTCTGCACACCTGTAATTTGCTAAATTCCATGTAATTTTGTTTCTAAGGCTCTTGTAATCTATATTCGCACCTCCTGATTCCCATCTCAAGTTGAAAATTATTATTTCAATTTTGTATCCATGCTCATTTTTACACACTTGATATACGTTCTAATCCTGCGTAATTTTTGTTTCTAAGCCTCTCGTATAACCATATCTAGTTGGAAATAATTATCACCTTTTATTCACTGTCATAATTATGTAGAATCAAACAAGAATTGTCTCCATGTGAAATTATGTATTTATAAATGCGATTGTACAGCTTTTGAAAATGAAATCGCCGAAAAGGGAAAGATATCTTTGCTGAACTTCTTATTCTTCTCAATCTAATGTTCCAATGGGTATTTTCCACGATATTTATATACATCATTAAATTATTTCACCTCATTTTATCTCATGTTCTTATTGATCATGCATATTGAAAACTAACTGACTATTTTCAAGAGTTCGGTTTGTAAGAACTGGATTTGTTTATGGTTCTCTAACTGATGTCAATTCGTGGTCAAAGTCGTATAACTGACTATTGTTCCATCCCATCATATACCTTTTTCCACAGTACATATTTCTGATATGATTCTAATTTGTCTTTACTGGCTGGCTATTGTATGCTTAAATTAATGAATTTATAATTGTAGAGCTTGAAGAAGAAGATATTATTGAAACCATTATTGTTAGCTGTAGCTATTTTGTTCTCTATATAATCCTCAGTTAAAAATTCTTTTTTTCTCACTCCCCTGAGTACCGTTTGGAAGGTGAGGTGGGGGTGAGGGACTTCAGTAACGATGGTGCTGTTTTTATGTGGTGAATCTGCTAGCTTCATTCCCAACCTTCACTCTTTACCAAGCTGACTACCGGGTAGGCGGATTTTTAAAAATGCATTGGCCGGACGAATTGACACCGGACCACTTGCAACGTATATGATGAGTATTTTGCCAGTGAACTAGTGACTATTGTTGAAGAAATAAAAAAATTGAAATAAAGACGACACATTTCATTCAGCTCATGATGCAATCCTCCGACCAATCAAACAAAATCCATACAAAACAGATGCCTGAAAATTAATTTGGTGCTCACTAGCGACCCACCCTATTCAGGCAGTTAACCTGGGGTTCTAGTGGAAAGCCCTGACCAGTAGGGTACAGCAGGTTGAATATGAGGCAGTAGCTCATCAAAGAAGACATGACGAAGTAGTAGCCCTATGTCGTGAATTGTCAGAAGTCAGAATTCATGGGCTGGTCATGGAATCGGGTCCCAGTGGCTTACTAGTCTACGAGCTCACCTTGTAACTGAAAGGTGTTGGGTTCGAACCGTGAGGGTGAGTGCGTACTGCCAATGAGTCTCCAACTAGGCTGACTAAACAACTTGCCAGTACTCCAGTGGTGGCTTTGCAATAGTTCTCTAACTGATGTCAGCTCATGATGAAATCCTCCGACCAATCAAACAAAATCCCTACGAAACCAATACTTCATAATTTATCCGACGGAAGAAACTTTTCAAAGTGCTAATTAAATTCTACACACAGAGAGCATAAAACAAAAGACAAAATATTGTTAAACGAAAAGATAGTAAATTTCAGATATAAAGAGAGGGGTCACTTTCATTTCTTTTCTTCCTTTCAAAAAGTTGCATAAATGCCATTTTAATTTTTATTCTGTGTATGTATGCTTGACTGATTCATCGATAAACTCATTTCTGTACTAATTGTCAGTTAATATCGACTTCACCCGTAGACACTTTCCTGGAAATATATGCTGATATCTCAAATGTTCTCATGTTCATCATCATCATTAGTAGACCGTGTCTACCACTATCAGTGAGATTACTTAGGAATAAACTGAAGTGAACAAAATCAAAACAATGGTGTATAACATGCTATCTCCGGAGAAGAAGAAGGTGTCATGGATGCGTAGTGTTAAGGCCTATCAGGTCATATTAATGTCATAGGACAGAATTTCATTACGTTGATAAAATTAGATTGGTTGGAGGATTTCATCATGAGCTGACACCAGTTAGAGAACAATCGGTAAACTACTTGAGAGTAAAAAGCAACTGTTTCGTCATAGTCTGAGACTCTTCATCCGTACGCACCCACCACCAGGGTCCGAACCCAGGACCTTCAGTCAGAAGTTAGAATTCATGGGCCATTGAATTGGGTCCCAGTGGCTGAATGGCATACGAGCTCGCTAACCATGTAACCAGAAGGTCCTGGGTTCGGACCATGATAGCGGATGCGTACTGATGAAGAGTCTCAGACTAGGACGACGTGCACAGCTGTCCAGTACCCATTGATGGTTTCCCAATGGTTCTCGAACCGATGTCAGCTCATGATGAAATCCTCCAACCAATCAAACAAAATCCCTACGAAACCAATACTTCATAATTTATCCGACGGAAGAAACTTTTCAAAGTGCTAATTAAATTCTACACACAGAGAGCATAAAACAAAAGACAAAATATTGTTAAACGAAAAGATAGTAAATTTCAGATATAAAGAGAGGGGTCACTTTCATTTCTTTTCTTCCTTTCAAAAAGTTGCATAAATGCCATTTTAATTTTTATTCTGTGTATGTATGCTTGACTGATTCATCGATAAACTCATTTCTGTACTAATTGTCAGTTAATATCGACTTCACCCGTAGACACTTTCCTGGAAATATATGCTGATATCTCAAATGTTCTCATGTTCATCATCATCATTAGTAGACCGTGTCTACCACTATCAGTGAGATTACTTAGGAATAAACTGAAGTGAACAAAATCAAAACAATGGTGTATAACATGCTATCTCCGGAGAAGAAGAAGGTGTCATGGATGCGTAGTGTTAAGGCCTATCAGGTCATATTAATGTCATAGGACAGAATTTCATTACGTTGATAAAATTAGATTGGTTGGAGGATTTCATCATGAGCTGACACCAGTTAGAGAACAATCGGTAAACTACTTGAGAGTAAAAAGCAACTGTTTCGTCATAGTCTGAGACTCTTCATCCGTACGCACCCACCACCAGGGTCCGAACCCAGGACCTTCAGTCAGAAGTTAGAATTCATGGGCCATTGAATTGGGTCCCAGTGGCTGAATGGCATACGAGCTCGCTAACCATGTAACCAGAAGGTCCTGGGTTCGGACCATGATAGCGGATGCGTACTGATGAAGAGTCTCAGACTAGGACGACGTGCACAGCTGTCCAGTGCTCATTGATGGTTTCCCAATGGTTCTCGAACCGATGTCAGCTCATGAGGAAATCCTCCAACCAATCAAACAAAATCCATACGAAACCAATACTTGATAAAATTAGAACTTGATTTTAGAACGAGATGATATGATATTTAAGTGTCGGTTTATTGGAATTTGATTGGCTACAGGATCTCATTATGAGGTGAAATCGGTTAGAGAAGCATTAGAACAGCTGTCCAGTACAGGGTACTGGACAGCTGTTCCATCAGCTTAATTTGGACTCCTCAGCGGTACACAACCATCGCCAGGGCTGGAACCCAAGAGCATCCGGTTACTAGATGAGCTCATAGACCATTGAGCCCCTGGGACTCGATCCAATGGCCAAAAAATTACAGCTTCTGCCATTTCACTAGCCAACGTCATCCATGAGTGTGGTATTCATGTAGACTATAGGCTTTTGAATTCTAATCCAACGACCAAACATTACAATATTTCACTTGTTTCCCAATCTATATTTTGATGTCTGGATTTGTGGACTAGGCAATGAATCAAAGCACTAACTTTCTTTGAAACTATTCAATTACTCAACATGAAGTAAATAATGCAAGGACTGAGATCAAGACTCATTTCTGGAGATTTTGTCATGTAACCGACCGAATCGCATGGTTATTAGTCACTTGACATTGACAATCAGTTCAGCTTAATATCACAGTTAGAGTTTGCTCGTCAGTAGTTTCATCAAACTTTGCTTTCTACAATTTTACTCACTTTTAACATCAGATATTTACCTTCGTGAAACTGTTATTCTCAAAAACTCCAAGTATTCCTCATTGTATTGTTTTATCTTTCCTTGCATGTAGAAAATTGCCCATAAGTTAGTCGGGCATACATTTCCATCTGATGACATTAAGCAAGCCTGAGAATTCAGCCCATCCGGTGAGAACATTAACATTAATTCAACAGAATCCACTGAATAATCGATATGTTTCAACGTTTTTCGTTTCAAACTACAACATTTTAGCCAATAACATTGTAAAACACGAGTTTATGTCTAGGTATAAACTAAACTTCTAAATTATTAAATAGCATCATTACTAATTGATTTTAACTGATTAGATTGCTTGAGAAATCGTCGTAATGGAAGATGAAAAATCGTACAATGGTGACACTCGAAGTTAAAATGAAAGCCTGCTTCGCAGAAGGTTACGAATTAGTAGCCTGGTAGCCTGGCTAGCTGAGCTAGTAATTCTATCACGGTCTGGATTTTTGTTCCATCCCGATTCATAACACCTTACATAAACTGTGCATTAGCTCAATTCTCCTCAGATTTACCAAAGTAACAGCTGTCAAACGCCTGAAACCTGATTTTTGAGTCCAGAAAAATCTGGTAACTCGATATCTCTACTTTCTGTAGCATTCGATTGAGTATACTTTTGCTTTATTCTGTTCCTGCTTTGATGTAGAGTAAATCTACTCGTCTCTTGTTTCTATGGCCTGAAGTTTACTCACTCTATTGCTACTCAGTTTATTAGTTATTCATCATCTTATTCAATTCTTGCCTTTATTACGCAACTCTACTGCCATTATATCCAAGTATTCGGAATATAAGCTATATAAGTGTCATTTTTGGTCACTGTTTATTAAGTTGGAAGTCTGCAGTCAACTGAGATAATTTAATATTCACAAAAATGTTGAGACTGTTCTGTACATAAACCCCTCAATTAGTTTCTTTATACTGTATGCAGATGATGAGAGGCCGACGAAACAAATGATAATGTTACCCAATATTATTCTCGAAAAACCACTTTCGTTTTTGCTTTATTCAAGTCCAAAAACGGTATTAGTCGCATGAAACTGCACTAGTCGGTAATGGTAATTAAAGTGATAGTGATTTCAAAGTTTCAGTAGTGATGAGGGATGGAGGTATCAAACTCAAAGAAACACAAGTGAGAATCAACAAGTTCTCAGAAGTTTTCAGTGAATACAGAACTTGAGGGCGAATATATGGTAGACAGAGGTGGTGAAGTCACCCAACTAACAACAGCAACAGCAAGCACCACTGTTGCCATCAACAGCAGAAATCTAAGAGAAGTCACCTCTTCCACGTAACTGGCAGGGTGAATCTGTTTCAACTACACACGTGTTACAGATGTGGAAATCCACAGCACATTGTAGAAGGAACAAGATAAGAAATCTTAGAACGACTGTCAAGTCTCTGCCTGTATATAATCGACAGATATTTTAGGTCATTAGAAGCCCTTGTGGCAGTTTAAAGAAGACTTCAATCAACACATACCTGTGCTTGATGATGAAGCTTAAATGGCCAACTGTTAGAGATGGGTCCTGGAGCAGAGATTGAACGGAAAGAGATAGACTGTGTATCTGAGGGTAACGTGAAGAAGATCATAATTCACAGGCATTCAGTTCACCAACAATGGTTGAATACCACTACTCCATACTTGTAACTCAAAGTTCCTGTGCCTGACTCGTGTTGGGTTTACGGACAAGCACCTAGAATTAATACTGAATTATGACTAAACAGTTGCCAGTTTGATGAAATGAAACAGACTGAAGAAGAGTTGGTGTTAAATAACTACCCTTTAAAATTAATTAGGAATATCAAAATAGGTCAAAAGCAAAATAAAAATAATGGGAAAGCTAATAATGATAACATAAATAAGAAAGAATATAGGGCATCTACAGTAGTTTTACCATATAAGGAGAGGACATCTGAGACCCTACGTCGGATTCTCAATAAAGCAGGAATTAGGGTGGCATTCAAACTCTCCAACAAATTCACTCAGGGACAAGCTCTGTGGGCTAAAGGACCCAGTGGGCCCAATCAAACAAAATAATATAATTTACAAAATACCCTTTAATGAGAATGTAGTGGCTAAGGTAAGAATGATTGATCTCATCCGCGAAGATGAGTAATTTAGAAAAAAACCTCAGCGCTACATTGCACTGCATGCATTAACACACAACCACACAATAGGGTGGGACAGAATCAAAATTCTATGAAGTGATATAGGTAGGTGGAGATAGAGATTGATTACTGAATCCTGACTGGTTCATTGAGTCTATACCCAACACAACACATGCAATAGAAATGACTCAACGCAAACACCAGAGATATGGAAGATATTATTACCACCAGTCAAATCAGAGGAGGATAATAAGTAATGTTCAAATGTATTCCATCAATTCACATTATAACATTCTAACAAGTCATTTATTTATTTTACTATAAAAACATCTTATTTCCTATCTGATTGTATTTGATTGATAACACTAATATTATTATTTCCGAATATACTTTATCTTACACTGGTTTTATTCAAATGTCTAATCATCAATTTTTACTCGTGTATGTAAATGAAGCGAGAAGGTTGTGTGAGTGACTTGATATGATTATGAGCAGCAACAATTCGTGCTCGAAAGGTGGCCGCATCAGTAAATATTACTGTATAACAAACACTGTGTGACAATTTATCAAAATATAATCGTATCCATAATGGAGTTATACTCACTCTACCACAGTACCCAACCTTTATACTTATATCCTTGATTTTCAGTCTTTCTGTGACTGACATATTGACTGCATGCGACAACATTCATCATGCATTCAATTAAAACACAATGAAATTAAACCTTTTAAAATATTCGATTATCAGTATGATAATACGTTTTTCAACTTTCAAAGATTTGTTATGATCACAAACTTGCTTCAAACAGTAAAATAGACACAAGGTAATTTGAAGCTGCCAAATATTAAGGTTAAAAGTACGAATTCTCACCCTGATATACACTAGACATAAGGATGATTTTCTAATCAGTCTGATCTGTGTGTGCGTGTGTGTATGTGTGTTTGTATGCGTGCATGTGTGCAATTTTTATAGGTATTCAAAACAAGAGGTGGTATAAACAGAAGTCGTGATAAACGGAAGTAGATTGACTCAGACTACACAATTACACGAAAACAACATCATGGAGATAAAATCATTCGCAAAATTATCCACTGATGAGCATAACCGTAATGGTTGACGTCATTTAACAGAATAAACAAATAAACAACCATTGAATAAAAATGAATCGGACGATTGAATGTTATCTCTGAAGGTGTTTCGAAAATAAAATAGATTAAACAAATTAGTATTGTGAGGTGATTTGGTTGAATGGTGACCAAGTAGTGGAATCCAGGATAGGAGGATTTCACTCCTTTTTGAATTATCGATCGGTACCAAATCTATCGATTATCAAAGGACTGTTACCTGTTGTACGTATACTCGGAGGTGAAATTCGTACTCTCTTGGATAATCTGCTTCCAAGACCAAGATGGACAACAGGTGTAAATCCCATATTAGTTTGTTTACTAGATGTATCACACAGTGAAACAGTATTATTTACTGGATAACATTTCGAACACAATCTAGTTTTGTTCATAACCATATCAATTATAATCACACGACTTCGAAACTTGAGTTTTAAAGTTTTCTTTGTTCTCTCCTGTTTGTCGTCGTGGGGGTAGATATCTGAGTGGACAGGAGTTGAATCATTCCTATTACACGTCACGTGTTTGTAGTTGATCCGATAAACAAAGCTTCCATTATCAATCCTGTTCCCTCCGCCCTGTAACATTAGATTTTAAAACTGTCATCTTATCCCATCATCCTATTGTATCACTGTGTTATTGCATGTAGTGAGTGCTATATCTGAACTGTTCTCCAGATTCCTTGTCTTACTCGGGTCAACTAATCTAGATTTTTCTGGATTTTTGTGCTCCGCTAGTCTGACTGACTACTCCTGTTCTACTACTTTGACCTATGTATTTGACCTGACAATCATTCCAGCAGGCTTTTAGATGAACTAAATTGTTTTGTTTAGAGGGTTGCACAGGATCCTTTAACCGAAAAAGCTTGTTTCTAATTGAGTTTGTGGGTTTGAATGCCACTTTTATTCCTGCATTGTTAAGAATTCTGCGTAAGGTTTCCGAGGTTCCTTCCTTGTATGGAATTACTACTGACGATTCAGATTCCTTATTGTTGGTGTTCTCACTATCCTGTGCACGTTTGACATGCATGTCGTCATTAATATTACCATTATTATTATCACTATCACTACTATCATTATTTATTTCATTTTTACATTTCGCTCCATACTTTCTGACTAATTTATCAGGGTAATTATTAAGTTTCAAGGCTTCTCTTATATATCTCACTTCCTGTCTTAGATTTTCCTTGGTACTACTTAGTTTTTGTGCTCTATTATTTAAACATTCCACCAATCCTATTTTTACTGACAAAGGGTGGGTGATCGGAAGTCCAAATATCTTTTTGAATGTGTGGGTTTCCTGTAAACACACCAGTGTGTTTAACTTCCTATCTTCTTTCCTTTTTAGGCTAATATCTAAGTCGAAGAGGAAACGGGCACAGGGGCATACAAGATGACCATCAGAGGAATGATGCTGTCTAGACACATAAACCACATCAGGAAAAGAGAAGGTTTTATGAATACCAGTAGTAGGTTATAGGAAAGTTTACCCGTTGACTTCCCTTGCAGAGAGACGTGTGTGAAAAAACCAAGTGAATAACAGTTCCTGGTACTACAAAAGTCGCTGAGGTTACTCAGATACATGAAGCATCTTCAGGTGGACCACAACACGTTACTTTGACAGTGGGAGTGTCACAGTAATTTTCTTTTCTATGCAGAGCTCTGGCGAATCCATCTGAACAGCTAGAGCTTCAGCTATGCACTGAAGATTTTTTTGAAAAAATAATAATAATCTACTTTATTCCGAAAACAGTACTTTTTTATTACAGCTTCATGCCACACCGTGTTTTCAGTACAAGTATGGAATTTTCAGCATGGATATCGGTAGCCCAAATTTTGCAGGCCGACCATAGATATCAGGTGTGCGTCGGCGGGGGTCGAACCCCGGACCATGTGCATGGC